GATTGCTTGAGCCCAGGAGTTTGAAACCAGCCTGGGCAACAATAGTGAGACCCTGCCTCTAGAAAAAAATTTAAACATTAGCCAGGCATGGTGGTACACGCTTGTAGTTCCAGCTACTCAGGAGGCTGAGGTGGGAGAATTACTTGAGTATATTTTTTATTTCTTCAAGTTCTTTTTGTTTCACATTTATTGATTTTAGACCTTCTCTGATAAGCATTTAAAGCCAATTTTTTTCCCCTAGACATTAGTTTAGCTACAACTTACAAATTCTAATAAACGGTAATTTAATTTTCATTCAGTTCAAGACATTTTATAACTTCCTTTGTGATTTCTTCTTGGTCCTTTGGTTATTAGTAATATGCTAACTTCCAAGTATTGGGCACATTCTAGTTAGCTATATGTAATTAATTTATAATTTAATTAGGTCAGGCACGGGGGCTCACACCTATAATCCCAGTACCTTGGCAGTCCGAGGTGGAAGAATCACCTGAGGTTAGGAGTCCGAGACCAGCCTGGCCAACATGGTGAAACCCAGTCTCTACTAAAAATACAAAAAATTAGCTGGGCATGGTGGCAGGCCTCTGTAATCCCAGCTCCTCGGAAGGCTGAGGCATGAACCCGGGAGGCAGAGGTTGCAGTGAGCCAAGATTGCGCCACTGCACTCCAGCCCAGGGAACAGAGCGAGACTCAGTCTCCAAAAACAAACAAACAAAATTATAATTTAATTTTATTGTGGACAGAGAACATACTCTATATGACTTCAACCCTCTTAATGAAATTAATTGAGGCTTGTTTCATGACCCACCATTTTGGTCTAGTTTGGTGACTATTCCATGGCATTTGGAAAGAATTTGTATTCTGTACTTGGTTGGAGTGCTACATACACGTCATTTAGGTTAAGTCAGTTTGATAGTGTTATCCCACTTATCCCTTATACCTACTGATTTTCAGTCTACTTGTTCTATAAATTACCAAGGGAGAAGTACTGAAATCTCCAACTGTGGATTTGCAATTTTTCCTTTTAAGTTTTATCATCTTTTGCTTCATGTGCCTCTATGCTCTAAGTGTACACACATGATCTTCATGTCTTCTTGATGAATTGTTTTTATCATTACAAAACTTCTTTCTTCCTGTTAAAATTCCTTCTGTGGAATTCTACCTTGTTTGATATTAATAGCTACTTCAGGTTTCTTATGATTACTGCTTGTATAGTATATCTTTCTCTCATCACTTTACTTTTAACCTTTGTGAGTGTTTATATTTAAATTCAGATGTGAATAGCACATAGTTGGTCCTTGCTTTTTTAAAAAAATCCAGTCTGACAATATTTCTCTTTTCATTGGTAGACATAATTATCAAGACAGCTGGGTTTACATCTACCATATCTTGTCATTTGTTTTTTATTTGTTCCATTGGTTCTTTGTTCCTTTTTTCCTCTTATTTCTGATTGATTTTTTTAAACAATTCCACTTCTATTTCCACATTAGGATTATTCACTCTATCTCTTTGTTTTATATTTTTAGTCTTGTTCTAAGATTTGCATTATACATGTATCAGTCTACCTTCAAATACGATGCCACTCTGCATATACTGCTGGAACTTTACAACACTACACTTTTCGTTTTTCCACTTATCCTTTTTGCTATTGATACAATGCATTTTTTCCCTCCATATGTAACATATAAACCACGAAATACATTGTTAGGAGAAAAATAAATTTTATATGCCAGTCAAGCACTTTCTACTCCTTTGTAAGATCCCTGTTTCTATATGGTATAATTTTGCTTCTGTCTGAAGAGCTTCTTTTAATGTATATTGTTGTGTAGGTCTTTTGGTGATGAATTATCTCAGCTTTGGTACTTATGTAAAGGTTTTTATTTCACCTTTATTTTTATTTTCTCTGAATATAAAATTCTATGTTGACAGTTTTTTCCTTTAGCTCTTTAAAGATATTCTTCTATTGTCTTCTGGTTTATACAGTTTCTAATGAGGTTTTTTTTCTTTTCTCTGTATCAATTTAATATTTTTATTATTCCATTTTATCTTGTTATAGTTTTCATTTAAAAAGTCAGTGATCTTTGAAAGAAAATTTAAAAAATTTAGAAACTTACATATTTACCCATGTAGCTATCATTTCCAGTAATTTCATCCCTTTGTTTCAATCCATATTTCCACATAGTATCATTTTCCTTCTGGCTGAAGGACTTCCTTTAACATTTTTCTAAGTGTAGATCTGCTGATGATAAATTCCTTCATTTTTGCCCAGAAAGTCTTATTTGATCTTCATTTTTTAAAGCTGTTTTCGCTGAGGATAGTGAAAGTATTTTTCTTTAAAGAAACTGCCCCATTGTCTTTTCATTTTCATTGTTTCTGATGAGAAACCTGTTGTTGACCTTATCTTTGTTCCTTTGTATATAATATGTCTTGTTTATCTGGCTGTTTTTTTCTCTTTATCGTTGGTTTTAAGCAATTTGATTACTTCCTCCTTCCCCTTTTCTCCTTTTGTTCAGGGATTCCAATTACATGTACATTAGGCTGCCTGAAATTGTCCCACATGTCAGTAATGCTCTGATTATTCTAAAAAATTCTCAGGCTGGGTACGGTGGCTCATGTCTGTAATCCTAGCACTTTGGGAGGCCAAGGCAGGAGAATAGCTTGAGCCCAGGAGTTTGAGATCAGTCTGGGCAACACAGAGATACATAATCTGTACAAAAAATAAATTAGCCAGGTGTGGTGGCTCATGCCTGTGGTCCCAGCTACTCTGGAAGCTGAGGTGGAAGGACCACTTGAGCCCAGGAGGTTGAGGCTGCAGTGAGCTATGACTGGACTACTGCATTTCAGCCTGGGTGACAGAGCAAGGCTCTGTCTCAAAATTTAAAAAATTCTCTTTTCTTTCTGTGTTTCATTTTACATAGTTACTATTGTTATATATTCAAGTTCACATATTTTCTTCTCTAAGTAAAATATACCTAAGCAGTTTGTTTTTCATCACACATTGTAGTTTTATATCTAGAGGTTCATTTCGGGTCTTTTTTATATTTTCCATGTCTCTACTTAAATTTGTGAATTTATCAAATATAGCTACAATAACTATTTTAATGTCCTTGTCTTCTAGTTATATAATCTAGTTAGTTCTGGCCTGATTTTGATGGATTCATCCTTTAAGGGATGTATTTTCTTGCTGCATGGCATGTCTGATAATTTTTGTTTAGGTGCTAGACATTGTAAATTTTATTTCTTGTGTTCTAGATTTTTTATATTATTATACATATTCTTAAGCTTTGTTCTGGGACATGATCTGCTATCTATAGGACTTTGTGTCTAAATCTGTTGTTCATTGTTTTTATTCATCCTCACGCTTTGCGGTTTATTTCCTTAAGCAGCTGCTGATTTTTTTTTTTTAATTTAATGAACACAAATTTAGTTGCTCTGACTCTGCAAAAAACCTGAGCACCTACATTTTGGATGTTTCCCTTAAAAGAGTATTATTATATGACTCTGCCAGGAGCTGGGTATGCTACCTACCTATAACCTCTTTAGGACCCTTTCAGGTCCTCTCTTTAATCAAGAATTCATCAGTTCATCTTCCCTTTCTTAATGTTATCAACATATGCCCTGCCTTTCATATGTGCTTACTGGTCACTACTTTAGTTTCTTTTTTTGGGGGGGCCCCATGGATGTTTTCCTGTCTGCAAGTACAGCAGAAAGGCCCCTCACACTATGTAGTGTACCACGGTGCCAGAAGTAGAAACCTGGGTTTCCTGTCCTATTGCATCTCTTGTTGATTCCCTATGCACATGACTCAAACCTGGATATCTCACTTGCTCTTGGACTTCACCTATGACCTCTATTTGCAAGACTTTTCAATGTATGGTTCCAGCTTTAACAGTTCCACCATTTTAAGTCCCACATTCCTAACTCATTATCAGCCATGTCCATCTGCACATCTAATTTAGACTCAGTGCAGTCAAATCAAAATACAGTACCTTTATGTTCTATCTCCACATGTCCAAGACTTTTTCCTTCCACTTACAAACCTCAAGCATTTCAAGTTAGGTAAGGTTTTCAGTATTTTGGGTTTTTTTTAGAGACAGGTTCTGGCTATGATGCCCAGGCTGGAGTACATTAGCTATTCGCAGTCATCATCACAGCACACTGTATCCCTGAACCCTTGGGCTCATGCAATCCTCCTGCCTTAGCCTCCTAAGTAAGTGGGACTGTCACAGGTATGTGCCAGTACCCCTGGCTTTCAAGTTGGAAGAGATTTAAGAGCTCATTGGGGAAACTGAGGACCAAGGACATTAATTAACTTTTTGCTCATTACTTCTGATTATTCCCCTAAAATACCACTTTTGTTACGTTTCTTCTCTCTCAAACAACGTGAGTGGTTTCCCTTTTGTCTAACCCTTAAGATGCTTGCAGATTTTATGGTCTGTGTTTTCCCTACAATAGTCCCTTTCTCTGTCCCTGCAATAATCCTTTCAAATAAAGTCTCTCCTTAGCAAAAACAAAACAAGGTATTTCAGTGATTTTCCAGTGTTCACAAGATTTTAGCTTGGTACTTAAGGGTTATCAGAATCTGGTTTCATTGTCCATGATACCAAGATATGAGGCCTCTGCTGTAGGCAAATGAGTCTATCTCCCCAAATTTTATTCTTCCTCACAGCACTCAGCGAGCCTAGGAGACTCCTGTCCTCATCTAATTCTACTGAAATCCTACCTTTCCTCAAAAATAAATCTTAAATATCAATTCTCTCTCCAGTTTTACCAAACCAAAATTAATTTACCCATCTGAACTTTTCAGGCACTTCCCATCTGTAAATTCATAAAATGCTTGTTAAATTCTGCTTTGTATGTAGATTTTTTCTATTTTATGTTATTTCAAAGTTTCCCCAGGCAGAAAGCCACCATTCTGTGTTCCCTACAATGCTTAGCACAGTGCCTGGCATTTGGAAGCTCAGTGAAGTTGGGTGAAAGAAGTAAACTTAAGAATCCCTTACCTTGGTGATGTCTGTGTGGTCTTTGAGCCCGTTGGTCATGCACCAATATCGCCACACATTCAAGGCGTACCGCGTGGCTTTGGTAGTATTTGGGCTTACTGCACTGGTACACAGATCATTCAAGTCATCATTAATATTAAATACAGGAAATTTGTTGAGCTTAGTGGAATAAGCTAGAAACAAAAACAATAAAAGCATTAAAATAATTTGCCATTCCCTTCTTTAGAGAATTACATCTTGGGATGTTAAAAAACAGAAAACTCTAAAAGACAACACTTTAAAACATGAAATTCTATTAAAGTATATGTATGTATATGTGTGTGTGTGTGTGTGTGTGTGTGTATATGAATAAGTAGGGAACAATACTTGTAACATGGAATCAATGCAGTAGCTTACATTTAATCCCTACTATTTTTCCATATATACTAGCTTATGTACTAATGCAGGCATTCCAATAATAGAAGTATAAAAATAAATGCTGAAAATCAAAGAATGTTCTATCTAAAATTTTCACTGAAAAAAAAAATAGCATTTCTATTAACAATAACAAAAGGAAAGGAAGAAAGATAAAGCAAATAAATTACACACTCTTAGCACATGAAGACCTAGCATTTATTTGTAATTTTCATTTTCAAATATCTTGTGTGCCATCATGAGAATCCTTAAATGAAATGATGTTAGGAGTTTTTCTTTTTCTTTTTTTTTTGAGACGAAGTTTCCCTTTTATTGCTAAGGCTAGGGTGCAACGGCACGATCTCGGCTCACTGCAACCTCCGCCTCCCAGGTTCAAGTGATTCTCCTGCCTCAGCCTCCTGAGTAGCTGGGATTATAGGTACCCATCCAGCTAATTTTTTGTTTGTTTTTTTTTTCTCGTAGAGATGGGGTTTCACCAGGTTGGCCAGGCTGGTCTCAAACTCCTAACCTCAGGTGATCCACCCACCTTGGCCTCCCAAAGTGCTGGGATTACAGGCATGAACCGCTGCACCTGGCCCTGTCTTAGCATTTTTTTTAAAAAAAAGTTTTGTTCACAAAACTGATAAAGAGAGGGGTTTAAATCCTGATCCCACAACCCATCAACTAGCTTTGAATTAGAAGGGAAGGTCAAGTGAGAGAAAAATTAGAGGAAAGAGGAAGGAATATTTCAGAGGGGCTCACATCTCCTCAGAGGAGAGGGAACATGGCTGAAGCTGCCATAATTACTTGAGATCGACAGGTCTTCCTCAACAGGTCCACTTTAAGTGTTGGTTGTCAAAGGGATAACTAGTCCATAATCCTTAGCTGGCTTTTTATAAGATCCCGTGATCTGCTAAAACCAGGCTTAATCTGGTCAAATTGTAAGTCAAGGTAGAGCATCTCAAGGTAAAAACACTTCATCTAATAGTTCTCACTCTCTGGACTATTGACGTATGTATTCAAACAAGGCGCTAACTGGCTAGGACCGTGGGAAACAGCAAAATGAAAAGTTAGCGTAATGACCAAGGTGAACTGCAAACTGGGTTCACTTTACCTCCCTCAACTCACCTTTCACTGCTCCCTCTGAGCATCTCCTCTATACCAAACTACCAGTCTCCTGCCATCCCCAGGATCTGTTAGCACCAGGACACCCACATTACACCTGCCCCATGCACTGCCTAAGCAATCTTTATACAGTCATTTTTTTTTTTTTTTTTTTAAACAGCATCTCTCTCTGTCACCCAGACTGGAGTGCAGTGATGCGATCTTGGCTCACAGCAACCTCCACCTCCCAGGTTCAAGTGATTCTCCTGCCTCAGCCTCCCACATAGCTGACATTACAGGCATCCACCACCACACCTGGCTAATTTTTGTATATTCAGTAGAGATGGGGTTTCGCCATGTTGGCCAGGCTGGTCTCGAACTCCTGACTTCAGGTGATCTGCCCGCCTCAGCCTCCCGAAGTGCTAGGATTATAGGCGTAAGCCAACATGCCCAGCCTTCACATGGTCTTTGTATAAATCAAAATACTGTGTTGTTGTTTTTTTTTCAATTCCAAATCCACTTCTACATAACGTTTCCTTACACTCAGCCAAGTCTCTTATTGTCTCCTTCAGTCTATGCCTCACATTTGCTTTACTGCTTGATAGGAGTGTGTTCTCACTGTGTCCAGAAGGTCTCTTCAATTGGTTTGCATTCCCCTTAAGACTATGTCTTTGCTCTTTCAATCTTGATCCTGCCCAGAACTGTTGAACACACTCAGCTTTAATAAATGTATACAGCTACAAAGGAAGAAAAGATGCTGGAAACTATCTGAAGCAACTGTGTCATGTAGGTATATTTCTCTCACCATCCCCATAAACCTGGATAACTCCTATTACTTGTGGGACTTGCTTGATACTAATAAAAGGAATCTTGTATAAAATTTATTATTATTATACCTAGCACTAATTGAATGCCTACAACATGCCAAGAGGTTTTACATAAATTATCTATAATCCGTAAGCAAGCCCTTTGTTATTCCTATTTCAGAGGTAAGGAAATCAGCCTCATACATTTAAGTAACTTCGTACATTTACTCATCCAATATTTACTGAGGTACCCTCCCTATGACAGGCACTGGACTGTTTAAGCTATGGAATTAGTAAGTGGAAGAGCCAGGATTTGAACCTGGGTCTCTGACTCCATGATTGAGTCATTACAGTGAAGGAATCAGGTACTATAAGGATAAAACTCTCAGTAAAGAATGCAATTTAGATATTAGCTTGTGCTTATGAAAAATACCCTGGTCCCCCAAATTTATTCAGATGAACCTTCAATAAGAGTAACTAAGACTGCTTTGTTTAGATGACCACTATAGTTTCAAACATGATTAAATTTAATTATTACATTAAACAGCTAATGGCCTTAAATAATTTCTTTTTTAAATTTTCTTAAAATCACAGGACAGAGACCGTACATTAAAAATGGAAACCTAGGCCGGGCGCGGTGGCTCACGCCTGTAATCTCAGCACTTTGGGAGGCCGAGGCGGGTGGATCACGAGGTCAAGAGATGGAGACCATCATGATCAACATGGTGAAACCCCGTCTCTACTAAAAATACAAAAAATTAGCTGGGCATGGTGGTGCATGCCTGTAATCCCAGCTACTCAGGAGGCTGAGGCAGGAGAATTGCCTGAACCCAGGAGGCGGAGGTTGTGTTGAGCCGAGATCGCTCCATTGCACTCCAGCCTGGGTAACAAGAGCGAAACTCCGTCTCAAAAAAAAAAAAAAAAAAAAAGAAGGAAAAAAGAAAATGGAAACCTAAATCCTAGCACACAGTGAAAGAGGTAAAGAATACTTGTCTGCTTATGTAATGGAACAGAAATTATGTGAAAATGATTAAATGACATATATGGTTCCTTCATGATTATATCTGTCAATTAAATTACATTTACTTAATAAACTGCTTTCAAAATTTTGGAGGCAGGAGTTGCATTATGCTGCTGAGGATATTTTTCATAGTCTATATTGATGAAGAAACAAACAAAGGTCAGAATTTGTAACTGAATACAGGAAAAGGAGGGAACTACTAAAGGAAGATGGGAATGATTTTTTTCTGCCAGAAGACAGGACAAACCCTGAGCTCACGGTGAGGAGGAGCTGGGATGAGAGCGGGAAGGGGCTGTGAGGTTGTGGTAGTGCGGCTGCGGCTGCCCTTACATCATCTGCCACCAGCACAGGTCTTGGCAAGTATGGCTGTATGAAGTGAGGGAAATTTGCTGTGGAAGGCCACCCTGAGGGCCAGAGAGAGTTACTATCTCAGGCAACTCTGGGCAGTCCCATTGGACATGGACAGGGGAAAAAGCAAAGCAGCTAAGAGAAGCAAAGAAATCCCTGAATGCCACCATCTCTCAAGCAACACCTTCCCGGTATCTATCACTGGGACAGTTCCAGCTTCCCAGCTTCTTGCCAGCTCAGGCACCCTGAAGGAAAGCCTATTCATGGACACTTCTTCAACCACTCATCACAGCTGCTTGAAGTCCACTTGCAGAACCCTGTGCTCAACCACTGTCTGAAGAAATGAACTCTCTCCAGGTGTTAATAGACAGGAGCCTTTAGCAATAGCTAAGGAAATCCCTAGCAATTACCAGTATTGATCAATCTAGACCTGAATTTTAAAATGTGAGTACATAAGCATCACTTGGCAATGGGAAAAACCAGTAGCATGACAATCACCAAGCTATACAAGCAGAAAAGCTAATTCCACATTTTCTACTCCTCCTTCTGAAAGGAGAGTTAATCCAGAAAACCAATGATAAAAATTAGAACATTACAAATATATCATTAGAGATTTAAGAGGATAACACATCCTTAAAATAACAACAGTCTTTACTGAAAAAGGAAAAACAGGAAAACAAGAAAGATCCTAGAAATTTAAGATGATTGAAGAAATATATTTTAAAAACAAAAGAAGAGCTGGGTATTAGAATGAACATGGCTAAAAGGCAAATTAGTGATCTAGAAGGACTCTTCCCTCTAGGGCAGGCAAAGACATAAAAAATTGTAAGCATGAAGTTAAGAGATATGAAAGATAGATCCAGGAGACTGTATATGTTCTTAAGAAGGCAAATTAGTGATCTAGAAGGACTCTTCCCTCTAGGGCAGGCAAAGACATAAAAAATTATAAGCATGAAGTTAAGAGATATGAAAGATAGATCCAGGAGACTGTATATGTTCTTAAGAATTCAAAGAAAAAATTATAATGATGAAAGAAATAATATAAGAAAAGTTCCATTAATCAAAGAAAGATTTGAAACTTTAGGATATTAAGGTTTATAAACTGCCAAATAGAAATACTGAAAGAAGACATACATGTAAACATATCTTGGTGAAATCTCCAAAGTCTAAGAACAAAGAAAAAATTCTACAGTCTTTTCTAGTGGGCAGAAAAAAAAAAAAAAGCCACCAATGGGCACTGGAGCTGTCAATAAAGTGAGAAGTCCACAGATTTCTTCTGTTACAGATTTCTCATCTATAACACCAAATGGTTTAAAAAAAGGGTTGGGGGGCTTAGTGTCCTCAGAGTTAAGAGGGAAAAAGACTGTAAATGAAGAAATGCATTAACATCACTTGAATGCTAGGGCAAGATAAAGATATTTTCAATCATGAAAGAAGAAGCAACCAACTACCCACTCTACCTTTAAAAAAATTAGTTACAGATAGTTGCCAGCAAAATGAA